AATTTTTAGTATTAATGTCTGTTTGCAATAAAACATTATTCTAACGAGATTCTTTTTTTTTTTTCAGGCTGCTGATCAAAAAACCAAAGGTAAGCCTGTTTCCCGTGTTTCAGTCAGCATCAGGCCCTAGGAGGGTGGTGATCTCGTGACGGCCGGTGGCCGAGAGCAGAGCCCACGCTTGCCTTTGGATGGCGCTCAGTCTCGTTGCTTTAATTTAAGGATTTGCGAAATTCTCCCTCTTCACTGGCTTTGCCTCTGCGAGTCATTGGCTTTGTTTTCTCTAAACGCCAAGGAATTTTATCTTAACTGTCTTAACAGTCACATTTTCCTTGGCTTGATTCCCACTAAGCAAAGACTGAACTGGTAAACGTTGCTCCGTGTTGACTGGAAACCAGCAGCGGGCGTGGACGTCTCCCTCCAGCCCCGGCCCTGCCAGCTGCTCCCCGGGAGCCCCGCCGCCCTGGCGTGACAGGCTGCCCGTGCCCACACCCGCCTGGCAGTCGCCCGCAAGTGGGTGCTGGTGGCTGGCCGCGGCCCCCGCCGAGCGGGACGGCACCCGCTCGCCCCTTTCAGCCTGGGGGGCCCGTGGGAAGGTGTGCACGTGGGGCTGAGGGTCAGCTGCCACCGGCCGCCCGTGTTCCTGCCCCTGGGGCCTGGCCAGAGCCTGGGTGGGGGCCCTCGCTGCGCCAGGCTGCTGGTTCGGCGTTTTCTGGGTTGAAAGCGAGACTCAGCGTGCCATCTTCCGCGGACGCCGCCACGGTGGCCGGCTGTGACCCAGCAGGTGCCACGGAGCCCTGGCCCACGCGGGGGTGGGCTACCGAAGGACGCCCTCTCCCGGGGCGCGGCGGTGGGCCCAGCCCAGGGGCGAGCTGGGCACGTGGGCGTCCGTGGATTTATGACCTTGAATAAGAAAAAAATGATGTCTTTGCCATTTAACGTTATGGAATTGTGGATCTTTCATTTCCTTTTTCTAAAACATTCTGGCCTTGGCACCCTGGTGCCATCCCGGCTAAATGCTGCCCTCACGTCACCGTGTCGGTGCCCCTTCAGAGTGACAGACTGCACAGCTCGGAGAGTGAGTCCCGCGGCCTGCTCCTCACGGCCCGCCGGCTCTCTGTCCCTCCTGTGACGCGTTCCTTGTCTTCACTTCCACCTTCTGAGCTGCCGCCCTGTGGACTGTCAGGAACCGCCACTGCACAACGCCCAGATCGTAGTGATGGTTGCTGGTGTCCTTCCTAAACACAAACTCTTTGCATCACAAATACTCTAACAGCACCTGCTAGCAGCTTCAGGCCTGTTCCTCCTCACTCCG